AAATTGCACGCTCGTGTCCTACCTACCTTGGTCCGTGTCCACGCGTGTAAATCGCGCGTGTAGGTGCAGGGAACCGTGTCTGTGTCGCGTGCACGTCGGTGTCCAGTGATTAATCCCCGCACACACGCCCATAATTCGCCCCTGAATCGGCTCGTAAACGTTCGTCCGTTCGGGCCGGACCGGATTAAATAAGAGCTTTTCAATACGGCTCCCGGTCTTATCTACTCCCTATTCCGTGTTATTAGCCACGACATAAATTGATGTATACGCGTCCTCGAGTAGTGGACCGGCTTTCGAGTCGTATTTTTCCCGTATTTGATTTTATTCCTCCTTCTCCTTCCTCCTCTTCCTCTTTCTTCTTCTTCTCTCTTCGCTGTTGCGGTTTGAGGGAAGTCGATCGAAGGGAACTCGATTCGCAACTTCCTCTCGAGATGGATTTGGTACTTTTGACGAGAATTTTATTTTATTTTATTTTATTTTATTTTATTTTATTTTATGCGTAATTGGATGGAAGACGAATATATATTGTATATTTATAGAAAAGAAAAGAAATTGTATCGACGGTGTAAAAGTATAAAAGAGGGGGAAGAGGAGGGAAACGATGAGGTTACGTAAATTTGCTCAACGCGACAGTTTCGCCGTCCACGGCCATTCTTCATCTCGCGTACGGGCCGCTCTTCTAGAAGTCCAGTCAAACCAGTGTAACACGAAGAACGAAGGCAAAAAGTAACAACCATTGTTACTAGTTCCTGTTACCGTGTCCCGCGCACAATACCATTGCACGCTTCCTTTGCAACCGTGAAAAATAATCCGGCTTTGTCTATGATGTGCGCAACAATGCGCCGCTGGTGCAAGCTATCGTATGGTCGCGGTTGAAATGTCTTTTCAGGATAAAGTCGCGTTCCAGCGAACGTGCGGCCCGACAAATGACACGTGCACGTGACGATCATCAATGATGGCGTTCATCATTTAATATTATATAGTAATTAATTGAAATCGATACTTAATTTATTGCTTAAAATTTAGGGAGATTGTTTGAAGAAAATTCTACCCAAAATTTCTCAAAATTTCTAAAAATTTGTCTTCGAGATAGCGAGACCTTTGCAACATGTTTCGAGCTATCCTTTTAAGTCAATAATTTTATAAATTCGAAATCCATTAATCTATTCATCCATTCGCTTCCGAATTTCGTCAGGTAACGAGAACAGAGGATGATAGTCATCGATGGAAGCGAGAAGATGACACCACACTGACGGTCGATCCGATTTCATTAATTCGTTCGTGACGAATGAAGATACAAAACGGAGTAATCCGCCCCAACGCCGTTAAACCACGCTAACGAGTCCCCTGGGCGACGTCGATGAAGTCGAGCACTTAATTTTCTTTCTTCTAATGAAACCCTCTAATTGAATTTAACCTTTCAATTTAGATAGTAAAATTAATTTCTTTTCTCTTCTCTCCAAATATTGGAAATATTGGAATTCGAATCTACGACGAAATTAAGCGATAGAACCTGGATTCTTCGCCAACTCTTTGTTTTCCTTTCCTCTCAAAAATCGAAATCTCGTATCGTTGACATGACAGAGTGATAAAATTTGGATTAAAACTGGATAAATAATTAGAAATCGTTGGAAAGAAGTTTTGCATGTTCGCGTTATGTCAAAGAAACGAAATATTCCTCGAAATAATTCGACGGAGGGGGCAATATTTTAAACGAACGAGTTGCAATTTGCCCGAGTTGCTCGAGTTGCATCGGTAATTATAGGATGAGCATTTTGGCGGGCAATTTAATTTCGCAAATGACCCGTCCACGATTAATATTCATAATTTGCACAAGTTGGATAACCAAGTTATACAATGTGTATTGCATAACGCTATAACCATGCAAGAGAGAGAGAGAGAGAGAGAGAGAGAGAGATGTCCAGAAGTGAAAGGGAGGCATTAGAAACGGCACATGAGCTGTAGGGCTGCCAGAAACGGGATTTTGCTGAGTTAATTCGAAATAGTGGAAGACAGGAAGACAAAATTCGGCATGGGTCTCAACGGTTCTGCTTAATCGACACACATAAAAAAACAATCTGATCCTAGAAAAAGAAACCGTGAAATTTATAAATTTATTTCGCTGTTGCCCACCTACGTCGCCTAGGGATTTCATATATTACCAAATAGAGACTTTCGTGAAAGTTCTAGAAGATTTGATGAAGAAGATACTGGATCTTCTTTCATTCGCTCAATTTTTAATTTTCTCGATTAACAAATTCGCAACGGATGGAATACTCGTTATTGAAAATGTTTCAATTAATAAGCAGACGCAGATACAGAGAATGGAAAATTACAAAGGTAGATGGAAACGGAGAATTAAGTCCACTCGATTTGTCGCCCGATTTCTCTTCGCAGAGCTGAGTCACTGCTTTTTTTTGCTCCCTTCACGGTGAATCGAAAGCAACCGAGATTACCTAGATATAGAAATCTTTGTCCTCTCACGAAAAAACGGAATCGAGCTCCGTTTGATCTTTGCGCAAATCAAAAATCGAGGCTCGTGTAATTAAGGGATCCAACTGTCAAATTACAGAGTAAAAAAAAAATTATTTCAGTTCCTTGCGTGTTCCATATATAAAATACACGAATAAAAAAAGACGATCCACGATCCTTTAGAAAGATCCACTTCCGGAATCCTCTCGAGGAGGAATTCTTCTCTCTCTCGAAAAAAAAAAAAAAAAACAATTGTTCGAGGAAAGAGAAAAGAAAAATAAAAATAAGAGCGAAAAGAGCGAAGAAAAGAGAAAATCGGCGCGAGGAGATATACCTGACGGGGTCAAGCCGGAGGCCGGAGGGAAAGAATGGCAGCGTTTAAAGGGGGCTTAAAGTCATCGAGGACGTAATCGGTGCTGTCGATCTTCGGTGGCCCATCTCTCCAAGTCCCATAATCCCGCAAGGATCGAACCAAGCCCTCCATTCAACGCCTCTCCACGCGCAACTCGGCATTGATCATTGTGTCTCACACGATCGGCTCATAATAGGGCACGTCGTTTCCATCGTCCCCCACCCCTTGCCGATAATAAAGAAGCCTCGATCTCTCCGCCCTTCTTCCTTCTGCCCTCTCTCCTTTGTTCCCCCCTTTGGAGGATTCTTGATTCCGGACTATGCGACGTGTTGTCCGGACACGCATTTGGATCTTCTCGAAAGTGCGTCATCCTCTTGCGGCCGCACGAGATAAGATCGTAATCGAGATCGTACGCGAGATCGATATTCTGTTTGTTCCTGGTGACGTGGGCGATTCGAATACTTGAATTTTTCTCACGTAATTTTTTTTTTTTTTTTATACTATATACGAGTAATAAGATAACGGAGTAATCTGTTTGTAAAAATTATTACAAATTTCAATACTTTTAATGATAATTAAAGTAACGAAGGATCTGGGTAGAAATTTTTGTTTTAGAGATATCACTGATAAAATTTCAAGATAAACTTTTTTAGCTTGTTCAAAAACTATATATTTTCAATCTTCAAAAATTTCAAAAAGAAGATAAACAATTTGATGAAAACGTTTTCGCAACGAGGAAAGGAATCGCCTTCTCTTCCTCGGTAAATCATTTTCTCTCTCGAAAACAACGTTGAAAACGATAAATCATACACAGGCGTACAATAATCGAAACGAAACTCATTGTCGTAGAGATTTGAGAGTGAGTCAGTTTGTCCCCCATGGCGATCCAGACACCGTAGAGGAGAGTCTTGTGCACGCGAATGTGGGATGAATGGAAATACGGGTACTTGAGTAAGCTTAAATTACATTTCATTCATGCAGGAAAAGCAGACACGCGGGAGTCGGCCTTCCGGCTCGCCGTTGTGGAAAGAGGCAGAGAGCGCTTCTGCGTAATAATGGCCGGCCTATAATGTGTATTATCCCGACATCCTGCGGCGTCTCCTTTTCCTAAGCCGACGTTGCGACAACGACGATAATCGGACGGTGTTTTCCCGCTTTTTTTTTTCCCAGCCCCGAAGGAGGCTCGAGGAGGCGAGGCTCCAGAGGTTGCGAAAACCGAGACCAAATGTTCGGGATCGCCGTTTCGTTGCCCCTCCATCGAGGAAAATGATCGTTTTCAACAATTTTTATTCTTTACGACGATATTTATTCTATATAGAAATTGGAATCTTATTGTTCGTTATGACGAGGATCAAAGAAATTTAAATATACTATATATCGATAGTAGGAGTTTGTTTTACTCGAATATTAAGTAATTTATTCGTGTAATTTGGATGCATGAAAGTATTTTTTGAATCGATGTAAGAAATTTTGGAACGAAATGGATTCGCGTTTAATCGGTGAAAGTATATTCGTCTTTTGCGAAACACGAATGCAGAGTTTAAAATCGCGAGCCGTCGAGCCGTCGCTTCAATGGGGGAGTATATAGGGGACAGGAAGGGGGTAAAAATCGGTGAGGAGGAATCATGGCTGGATGCACTCCCTCCCTATGTTCACGCACTTTTACCGCCGGCTAGCATCGGCACTGGTTCTGCGTTTTTCGAGGGGGAATCGGCGACCTGTTGAGCCCGTTGTCCTGCCGAGGAAAGTCGTCCGAATCGTTACAGAAACGCACTGCACAATCTTCAATAATATTTATTTCATGTTTGATATCGTGATATAAAAATAAGAAAGGGGAAAAAGATGGAGATGTGAAATTCGAAATCTCGTTTCTTATTTCTGAAATATTTCTTTGAAAAAATTCTACTTCAATTTGAATGTTCAATTCGAAATAAATGTTTAAAAATGCTACTTAAAAACGTATTAAAAGTATCTTTCACTTTATTCGATGAAAAATGTTGTAGAAAGTTTTGGTTAACCACAAATCTTCTACTACTACTAGCCACAGATTTTCTAATTCAAACTCCATTTCCATACAGGAAGAAAAGATATATATATATATATATATATTCCACGTGGTACGAACGATAAATTTTATTTTTATAAGAATTTTACAAAAGCAAAGTTTACACGAGAAACGGTGCTTCCCCAACAGCACTTTGCGCTTTCACGTGATTATAATTTTCCATCAGGCAGACCATTCTTTTTCTCCTTCCAACTCGGCTCAACGTGAAAATCAAAACAATATATACTTTTACTGCGTCGCGTTGCTCCACTTTCCCTTCTGTCTTTTTCTTTTAATGACACTCATCGCAATCATTCGTAATGATCGGTCCCCGACGACGAACGAGAAATTACAATTTACATCATGGACGTGCAAGAGGAACACGATACGATGTATAAAAAGAGAAAATGAAATGTCGCGCGAGTGGCAGTTTCGACCGATGGAAGGATGGCAAACCTCGTATCGATCGCGATCGTTATTGCAGTTTGGAGCGTGCCACGATCCACCGGGATCGATCCACGTGGATCGATCGAGAGAAGGGCAACAGCGGCAGGTGAACGATATATTCTCCCTTCGATTCGAGATTCTTTTGTGAGGATGTGTGACAAGGGAAGTCTTGGTGATCCGAAAGGTTTTCCTTTGTTCTTTTTATCGCTGCTTGTAAAATAATTCGGTAATTCATAGATGGATTAAATGTCTTCTGTTCTTTTATACGCGATTGGAATGTAGAATTTATTTATCTTTTTTTTTTTTTTTTTTATTGAGAAAATGTAAAAGTTATGTTAAATTGTATAATTGGAATTTAATAAATAAATTTCGAACGGTTAAATTAAAGAGAGGAAAAAATTTTAAATTAATTACTCTTGCAGAAGTAGAAGTGAAATTTGGAAAGTTATGGAAAATTATTATATAAATTTTAATAAACGAGTTTGAATAAATGATTCCTTTTGTTAGAGTTCTTTCAGAATAAATTTTATATATATTTTTTGTTAGAATCATGAGTGTTTTATTCTATATTTTATATAGCTAATGATCAATAGGATTTTTTTTATATATACTTTTTTTTATATTATACTTTTTTCATTTTCTCAAAAGTAAAAGTTTTGAAGGAATAAAGAGAAATATCGAAGGTTACTTCAATAAATTCTAAAAATGATTGAAAAAGATCAAAGAAAGAAAAATAAAATTGTTGGTTATTTCAAGAAGCTTCTTATTGCTTGTTTCAGGTATAGCAGACGAAGCTATCAGAAAGATTTTTCGCATAATCTCCACGGAAAATTCGAACGAAAAGGATGACGAATTGCTGGTGAAACTTGTCAAAGAGGAAATCGTAAGAACGGCACAAAGTATCAAAACGCCATCAGGTTCGATCGAGGCTGCAACCAGAAGAGCACAAAGATTGGTCACCGAATTGACAGCTGCATACATTACTGCTATTTACAAATCAAAATCAGTGGAAGAAGCCAAAGTGAATTTTTCTCGATTTCAGAATACGGTTCAGAAGATCGTAGATTTTATCAAAAATTGCCAATTTGCACTTTGATCTTCTGAAAGATATAAAAAATTTCAAAAGCCTATTATAAACATTAAGAGAAATTTTGCTTATTATAAACAAGTTATAAAATAAAGTTGACTAAAAGTTATTAAATTAAAAGTTAATCTTAAAAATATCCTTTAAAATATATTTAACAGACTTAAATTTATCATATATTCTTTATGCCATAGCAAAAATTCGTGTTTATTTGCATTGACATTTATAACAGATAGACTTAACGAGATTGTTATTATTAAAAAATAATAGTTAACGAAATCTTATTACTATACCATGTATAGTATCATATCATAGAAATAAATTTTTACATGAAATCTATCGATTTTATTTTAAACGTGCTATATTGACACGTTTACAAAAAAAAAAAGAATAAAATTGAATACTTGCAAAATTATTCAGAAAAAAGTCAAAAATTGAGACAATTATAACCCATCCATGATTCCACAACGAAGCCACGGAAAGTCTGTCGGCAGTCGATCGTCGAGGTCGTGGCTCGAGGAATCTATCGAGTACATCGAACACGTGCCAGGAACTTTTACCCTGTCAGAGATCGTACGATATTTTTTTTTTTTTTTTTTTTTCTTTTCCTTTCAGCCCCATCTACGACGACGTTGCTTACGTGTATAGATCCATACACACGCGTATGCCAACGAAAATTATTCCCGCTGACGTATGAGTCAGGGCAGACGATCCATTGTAAAAGCGGCATGGGCTCATAATCTGGCGATGTAGGATCTCCAGGCCGAGCTGACCGGAACTGCGCCTATGCTCTCTCGCCGGAAGTGGCGCTGCCACATGTAGTAATATAAATTATAATGCCCTTACGGTTTTTCCTTTCGCGGATTTGCATTTAAAACACCGGAATGGCATTGTCGTCGGGGATCGGAGCGGGCGATTTTCATGGAAATAAGAAAACCGCGGGGGCCATCGCGCTACCGCTACCTTTCGCCTTTGCCTCTTTTGCCACCATCCTCGATCGATGTTTTGCTCCATGTTTTGCTCCATGTTTTCCTCGCGGTGGCGAGATAAAACGGGGAAAAGAGAGAACGCACACGCTCGTTCTCCGTTGATTTCCATCGAATCGTGCCAAGGCTAATCGGAGATCAAATCTGGAAACGGCTCGCTTTCACCGGCTCGGACAATGGGCACTAAAGCTTTTCTAATTCTTTTTTTTTTTTCTTTTCTTTTCTTCTTTGTTCGTCTTCTTTTTCCACTCGTCTCTGTCTCCTTTTGTTTTTCCTTCCAAGCTTGATTTTCCCTCCTTTTTCATAGACTGGTCAACGAAGGCCTCGTACGATGCAGTTAGGATGCGTGAGATATAGTGGAGTTTCCTCAATTAATTAGTCAGTATGATAATAGCGAAAACACCGCAACAGGCTAATTAGAAATTATTTATTAACTGTTTATCATTGATGATAGTTGTATTTATTAGTATATGGACTTGTGTTAGATGTTTTTTTCTTTTTCAAGGACCACTACGATGAGAGATGAAACTGTTGTAGGAAGGATATTGTATCTTTTGTAGTAGTTTGTAAATTTGTCAAGGTTTCTTAGTTTGAAAGTAATCTTTGAAATCTCTTGCGTTAAGGATTGTGAAAAGTTGCATGTAAGATTTATCGTAAAATTTTTTTTCAGAAGGTGAAACAAAGTTTCTCAAATAGTATAATTACCACTTGTGGAAAATTATATTTAATTCTCTTATCACGAAGATAGTTTAATTGTTCACTGAAAAAAAAAGATAATAAAAGAATAATAGATAAATATCAATAATATCTATATATGTATACATATAATTTAGTATTAAAGTCAATGATATTATATCATTTCGACATTAGAACAGATTTTTTAAATAAGTATATTTTGGACTTTGCAAGTAATGGTTAATGATAATCATTTTCAATGCTTATTACATTATATGACATCAAATTCAGATATAAATAACAAATAACATTTATCATTAATTCTGAAATCAATTAAAATAATATATTTATATACTTATTCATAAAAATAATTCAATTTTTTAACATTTTCCTCAACTCCACATTAAATAATTTTCAAAAGACAGACCTTTCATCCTCACAAAACTTCTTCATGTAGCATCCATTAATACAAATAGGATCTTCAAATAATATTTTCTTGTGGAAATATTTAATTTCTCTAATATATATTTTAACTTATTTTTCAGATCTGCAATGGATCTGCAGGACAATCTATCCACAGAACTTGAGTGGACAATCTATCCGGATTTTCCAAGTAATCCTGCAAATGCTCGATGGCAGACTTTTCATCCTCACAAAACTTCTTCATGTAGTATCCATTAATACAAATAGGATCTTCAAATAATATTTTTTTGTGCAAATATTTAATTTCTCTAATATATATTTTAACTTATTTTTCAGATCTGCAGTGGACGATCTATCCACAGGCCATCCGGATTTTCCAAGTAATCCTGCAAATGCTCGATGGCACCAAGGACACCCCGATGGCGCGGAACAACCTCTCTCGTCGTGGCTGGATCGAAGTTACGATGGAGTCCGCGGCGTTTTACGTGGATTTTATATGGGAAACTGATTCGACCACGAACCAGAGGATAATATAACACCGGGGGCATTTTGTTTTGTTGCGCAAGAGGATAATAAACATCGTTCGGGACCGCTACCGTGCCGACTAGATAGCTACGACGATGAAACAATGCGGCATTGTCCCGAGTAGGCCTGAACCGCCAAAGCACAGCCGAACCCAAGCACCGTGTTAAGTCATGAACGGCGTTGCACACGGCCTTAGAAAACGTTCAACTGGAGCCTTCGATAGAACCTGACCCCGGCCAACCATGCTCCTCAAGGGAAAAATCATGGCAACGGCCTCCGTGTCTTCGCCGGAAACGGAAGATCGATTTTATACCAGCGCCTGATATCCTGAAGCATTTGAGAGAAGGAAGATATTAGAAGGTGGTGATAATGATTTCTTTTCAGTATACTCTTAATGGAGTAGATATGATCAGTTAATGGTGATAAATAATGTTTTGATATTTGTTATTTTTAACTTAAAATGAATTTTCTTTAGAATGAAGATTGATGAATTTGATTTTATCAAATATAGAAATTAAAAAATATATGTAAACTATTAGTAAGTAGATATTACAAATGAAATGATTGATGAACAAGAAGAAATGAACATTTCTTTAAGAAATATTTATAGAAATATAATATTGAATATATTGCAAATAAGAGATTAAATAATTCTTTGTAAAAGTTCATCCAAAGACATTGTTTAGAATATATAGGATGATTCAAAATTATTTTTTAAAGTATTATATTTTTATATGATTGAAGAAACTCCTAAAACTTAAAACTCGATTGAAATGATTTAGAACAAGATAGATTGAGATTGTTTTTATAAAGGACATTAATAACTTAGATGCAAATTTTTATATATTCATTATATGATAAGTCATATATTCATTATATGATAAGTTATATACACATTATATGATAAGTCCTTATATTCTGATATACTCATTCAAAAATATATCATACATTGTCAAATTATATTCATATATTTTGATTTATTTTATAAAAATATATATATATATTCCAATGTTTTATAATTTCTAAGTATAAATCCTCTCAATTGTTTATCGATTCATCAACAATTTACTACAAAAACAATGTTCTTGAATATTTCATATCCTATCCATAATAGTAACTTTCTATATCACTTTCATGGTATAATTTTCTTATTTATTTAATTAGTAATAAACTTTCAAAATTCGAACAAGAGAGATATATTTTACCATATTATTCATCGTAATATTCTATTTTTCAAGATAGCAAGAGCGTTCTTTGCGAGCAATGTTTTACAAATAACTCGAAACGGGCTTGCTCGAAGGACGATTCCTTCGGGAAGAAGATTTTTCCAGTAGAGCAGGCGGCTCTCCTCGATTGTTCATGTTGTTCACGGTGCAATGAAAGCTCGAAGGTACGAACAAAAAGCCGTGAGGTAGACATAAATAAATAGGTGGTGGGTGTGGTTGGTAGGCCGCACACATGGCGTCGTGACCCGTCTCTTCCCTTCGTGAGCTCAGGGCTCGCTTAAGTTATGCCCTGCGGAATGCTGCTGCTCCCGCTTCTTTCGATGTCGTGGCTAAACGCAGTTTCATCGTATCCTCGGCTTAGTTTCGCCTCTTTTTTTGCTTTTTGATCTCGATTCGCTTATCTAATGTTTATATAGTTGAGTATTAACCTTTCTAGCCCAGTTCAATTAGCCAATTAAATAGAAAATGGATCTTCTTCTTTTAAAATGAATTGTCTATTTAGTTGAATATTCAGAAATTATATATATTTTTCATTAAAAATATTTATACTTTTTTATGTTAATTTTAATCCTTTTGATATTTTGTAATGTAATGCGAAATAAATTCTGTGAAAAAGAAATATAATTTTGAGTGCAATATACATATCAATATTAATCAAAAGGTCATTGCATTATTTTTGTCTTTCTAAATTATTATTATTATTATTATATAACGGTTCAAAAATTTCTAAATTTTAATATATAATTAATTTTTCATTAAGGAAATTAAAAATATTAACATTGAAAAAGTAAATAGTTATGAGGTTTCTTACACATTCTCAAAAGAAAATGTTAGCAATTAATATTCTTTTTTTTTCAATTAATCGCTATTTTGATCGTTTTTGTAATGGGAACATCTTTTCAATCTTAAAAATGCATCGCACGCGCTGCGTCCGTCGGAATCGTGAGGACGATTCAACCAGATAAAACCTTCCTTCCATAAACAGAAATGCGGAAATCACATTGTGAAGACACAAATATATCTCTTGATAATATGATGGTCCAGAATATCCTTTTATCTTTATTTTCGTGAGAACTCTCCGCAGGATGATTTTAATTAAAAATAATATTCCAAATATATTAAATATGCTTCCAAATTATCATCATTCGTACCATAACCTATCACTATCAAATAATCGATTGATTCAATAGAAAATTATCACTTAGCATTAATCCAGAGAAAATAGTAATCACCTTTAAACAGTTTCTTTTAACTAATATTCGATGGAGCAACGGTACAACAATCAGCCGTTATATTATAAATTAAAGTCGAATGAAAGATTCGCTTCACAAACTGTATGAATAATTTATACGTCGACGCGAGCGCCAATATGTATTCGCGGACATATGATCTACCCCGCGAAGATTCAATGGCATATCGAATATCGTTGAAAATATCGATTACTCGAAATTCTCGAGAAAGCTTTTCGACTTATTAACTATCAATATCTCGTTATTCACACTCGTTTTATATCGTAATCGTACATTAATCGATAGAATTAAGATGGTAGATATTCTAAAAACAAATTCATTAGAAATCTGACATGGAAATTGGCAGAGAACGTAATTCGATTAGACTAGATATGAATTTCAAAGATGGCCGAAGGCGGTAGAGGATATCGCAATGGATCTTAGTTATTAGTTGATAATCCAACGTGCACAGGGTGGAGGAAAACGCGGTTGATCCGACAATATATAGCTACAGTGTTTAATTATCGCCCACCCTAGAATTTGCTCGGCCGTTTACCGTTAGAGGCGGTACTCGATGTATATACAAATATAGCACGGTTCGTGATTCGCGGCAAACCGTTAATAACGCGCAAAGTGTCTAAAAGCTGCAACATTCGCAAAGTTGTGGCATCGTCGGACCATAAAATCAAGAGCATCCAATGCGCAAAAGAGAATTTTATACATTTGTAATAATACTAAAGATGAATTTGTTCTCGAAATTACATTGAAACTCAAAATAGAAATTAATCATTTCATTCTTCTATTATTCTGTTTAAGATTTTTATATAATTTACAGATAAACGAAGAAGAAAAGGATCCATTTTCAAACTATCAAACTTCTGTTCTAAAATGAAATCATGGAAACGATTTATAAAGAGATATTTTTTTTTTACTAATGTATAATTTTTCATAAAAGATATCTAATTAATTAAATATTTTTATGATCAATTATCTATTAAGATTATTAATAATAAATAGAAATTTAAAAAAGGGGATATTCATAAAAAACAAATTTTAAAAGAAAAAAGAGCATTTACAAAATTACGATATTCTTTTTAATAAAAACAAAGAAACTGAAATTTCGAAGAGTTTAGAAACAAAAAATAATGATAATTCCAAAAGATAAAAAATTAATAAATTATTTTATAGCACAATGGCATGATAAATACCACAATGTTGAGAAACAAATTGATCACGATGGAAAGATTCGTGCGATTTAACGAGTGCACTGGCTCCACGGCGAAAAGACCCCAACCCCCGGCACAATCTCCGTCAATTTATCTACCGCGGTGCATTTAATTCCCCAATTACGGGAAACTTTCATTGCACATGATAATTGCGATCCCGCTTCCTAATTAAACCCCATTAATCTCTTATTACGGAGTTGCCGTTGATTCATCCCCGTTTTATATCGCGTAATAAAAGAAGAGGAAACGTAATGAGAAAAAGAGGAGCGGGCAAAAAAAAAAGAGGCACAAATTAATAAAAGAATCACGTCTTTATCTGGTTCTCTTAAGCTGGCCAACAGCCGAGAGCCAACTGTATTCGTTTTAAAATCTCCAAACCGGAACAATGGCCTGGCTGGATGGATAATGAAAAAAAAAAAAAACAGCAAAAGAGGGATAGGAGGATGGACAGAAAGAAGATGGCGGAGAAAAGAAAAAGAAAAGGCTGAAACTGCCTATGGTAACGTGACAGAGTTACGATAATACAATGAAGGCACACGACCATATTTGGTCAATTTTCTTCTTTTTCTTTTTTCTTTATTCTCTTTTCTTCCCTTTTCTTTTCTTCTTTTCTTTTCTCCTTCTTATTATCCAGCCTCGATTAACTCGCGCGAACGGGTAGCCGTGTCCTTATATCGCGGCTCGATCGCCGCGGAGGAGGCGGCAGCGCTTTTTAAATAACTATAATGAGGGCAATTATCGTGTGCGCCGACAAGCAGAGTGTGACGAGTCGTTGTTACACATTACAGCATGGAGAATCGCTCGAGCTAGATGAAGGAATGGTATGGAGGGCTGAAAGGTGACAGAAGATTGTAACGCAATACCATTAAAATAAAGAGAGATTTAAAGAAAAAAGAGAAAAAGATTTAAGAAAAGCTTCTGAGAAATCTGAGAGATTAAAAACAATGAAAAATAGAATATTTTCTAGTAAAACAGAAAGTAATTATAGAATCGATTATTGAATAATATGGAATATAGATAAAGATAATGCAAGAACAAGAGTGTCGAAAGAAGAAAAACATTAAGTAAGATGGCGTTGTCAAGTAGTATAACATACAGAAAGAAAATGGAAGGCTAGCATTCTATCAACGACGAAGAAGAGTAAAAAAAAAAAAAAAAAAAGAAAAGAATTAGAAAGAGTAGTATAGATGGTTGAATCGAAGAGGGAAGAGGAAGTGACAGTGGAGGAGAAGCGAAGAGGCGCATCAGAAGAGAGAGGAGAGACAGGCAGCGCGTGGCAGCAGGCCTCTCCTCCTCCTCCAGTAACTAATGCCCCGATACGTGCAACCACCTCCGCCAGTCGAGGCCTTAACTACTTTCTTATTCGCTCGTTTCAGGCCAGCCTTACGGGCCCATGCATAATGCCACACAGCGCTCCTTACGCATGCTGAACGCTGAATACGCTCCTTCCACCGCTTCTCCTCTCGCGCCATCTTCCTCCACCTCCGCCTCCTCGTGCTGTTCGTCCACCTCCGCCTCCCCGGAACATTGTACCCCGAGAGGAACTGCGGGTCAGAGACTGCGAGGCATATTCGACGCAGACTCGTGGCTCGTGCCTAGATCCATTGGCGTCTGACTCCACTGAATTTTGCTGGTTGAAATATTCTGTTGTTGTAGGACAGTGTACCTATAAAGAGTCATATATTAATATCGTATTATAATATCGATTTTTATCTATTTTTATTTAATTCCTTATATTTAAATTAGTAGATTTTTATTTGAAAAATAGAATTCTCTTGAAAATTGGAGAATATATTTGTTTATTCATGTGATTATTGCTCTGTTTTATATTATATTATAATATAAAACATAATATAATTTAATTAAACATAATAATTTATATTATATTATATTCAGTCTTTTCAAAACTGTTGCACATATTACAATGTATGTAATAATAGCAATAGCATTACTATTATTATCAAACTACTATCAACTTATAAAATTATAATTTTCATATGAAGTTTTTAATCTTTCCCTTTTAATCATCTTCAAAATCAAAATTTCTTCCAATAGAAAACTGGAAAGAAACATAAGAATGAAGGAGTTCATGCGAAGAAGATTCGCATAGAAGGCAATTCTCCGGCTTTAGTCAGGCGACGCCGATGCGCTAATATAACAAGAAACGTGGCGGCTGTTGCGCCGAGCGTACGGGAGCGAAGTAGCCTCGCTTATGGTCCGGTGGTGCCCGAGGAGCATAACAGCTCGCAGAGCATAACGCCACGAGCCATCATATCCTCCTTCCAGAAACCCTCTCCGAAGGTGTTCCACCTTCACCTCCTCGCCTACCCCTCACCCACGTTCAAATCGGCGCTCCCCCCGACGCCGCGAGAGAGCACGAGTCATCCTGGCGAGTGTACGCGTCACGCGTGTCTGTCGCTGCGTGGGGATACACGCTCTAGGAAGTGGATGAGACGCATGCAAGTCTGGCCACCTGGGACGAGGCTCTGATCAAACGAGACAGGTGATTTTTGGAGCAGGTTTCTTTGAGATTTGGCAGTTTTTCAAATCATCATTTGTGGATAATTAAAAGAAAGAAATGTAAGTTTCTTTCTTAATAAAGTTGATTTCTTTTTTTAGATGAAGATTGATGAACTCATGTGAAAGCTCTTGTAGATCAATAAGGTGATTTTTGGAGCACATTTTTCCAAGCTTTCGCAGATTTTTAAAGCTCTGAAAAAAAATGAGAAATTAATAAAAGAGCCAGTTTTTTAATAGGATTTTTTAAGATAATAAAAAAAGAAAGTTAGAAAAGAAAGATTTTAAGATTTCATATAAAATTATTTCTATTTTAATCTCAAAATGACTGTAAACTTTACAGTTCCTATCTAAAAATAATTAATTCAAACAGTCTATCGTTGCAAAAACGAACTCTCTATGGAAAAAATCGAAATATCAAATTTCTCGTTCGCGAAATAAATTCAAACGAGAAAAGCGACATATCCCCGAACTGCACGCGAATCGAAGGAAACAGGAAGAAGAGGAGAGAAAGAAGTGCATGCACACACGTATGCAATGCTTATGGTCGCGTGGTTGCATGTGTACAGGGGGAATGTTCGAGCGCGTGCACGTACATACATTACGTTTATACACAGGTATTGCCGGCTTCCGCGAACTAGATCGGCCGAGCAGATATTAGAAGCGCGTCTGCCCCGTTGCCATTGCGGCAAGTGCTGGTCATTGTCCACCCGGCGGGCACAGGAAGTCGAAGCCGACCAGCGATGGTGCAGAGAGAAGAGGAAGAGATTTTTCGGTAGGATAATCGCGGAGAAACTACGACAAGGTGCAAGATTATTGCCCTGCTTTTACGAAAATACCAAGCATCGAATAATCAGAGTGTTTTTTTCAGTTTCAAGATTCTTGAGGATTGTTGGAACGTTAATGTGCAAAGTTTTATGGTTATTCCGAGAGGCAGTTCGATTAAGATATTTAGGTAGACAAAGTTTCTCGGAGAATTAGTGTAAGTTAATTCTAGACTGCTAAGATAAGTTTGGATTAAGCAGAAAAATAAGTGGAATGACTATTTTAAATATATTTAACATAGATTATGAGATTGATATAATATGTAAACATTTAATGTGTATATATGTAACAAAGAAAGATAATTATATATTTATGATAATTTTTGCTACAGATATCTAGAAAATTATGAGAAAAATAAAATTTTAAAAAATTGTACACATTTTATTTATTATTATGGTATAATATAAAATATATATATAAAATGAAAATTACTTTAAAGAACTTACTTTAAAGAATATGATAAAAAAATTACATACCAATGTAATTATAATTTTATATTACCCAAAAAAAGATGAATTCTTCATTCAATTCTTTAAACAGGTATCATATAAAATCCATAATTATAATTTAAAAATTCGACATCTCTCACCGCAAATGGTGACAATCACCAGGATAGAAAGTTATCATTCCTTCGACTAATTTTCCATTTTCTTTCCTATATAACAGAATTTACGGTGTAGTTGCGACAAATAATCATTGTCCGTCGCAGGCAGGAAGCTGGCGAGAAGTTGGTTGGGCAGCAAGAGATTTTCGGTACGATAATCGTAGGGAAACTCCGGACGTTCATTGTGACAATGGCCTCCCGAGGCATCGTGATAATTACGACGGTAATAACCTAGCAAATAGAAAGAAACGCTCATTATATTTTTTTTAACACGAACTGACTATTACTGACCAGAGAAATTCATTTGTTTCCTACTTCTCTTCATCTTTTTCAATTCAAAAAATCTAAAAATCAGATAATAAAATATTAATTTAACTTAAAAAAGAATATATATATATATATATTTCTTGGAAGATTTTAAACAATCAAAAATATTACAATTTACCTAACAATTACTTAAACTTCGAATTTATTATTCCGTTTTTTCTTCAAGTCTCATGATCTTGATTTAAAAAGGAATAATTTTCCGTTTTTTTCTGTGTGCATTCTATTTTTTATTTTTTTTATCGAATAGGATGTTGTAGAAGGAAGAAATCAAGGAGGGTAAAAGTAAGTGAATGAGTGGATCCAAGTGGAAGTTGGTAGGAGAAGGATCGTCAGGGCGGCACCTGACCGGAAAGCGTCACAGTCACCGCATTCAGCCTCGTTCTTTCCTTTCCCTTCCCCTCCTAGCTTCACCTCTTTCTTCTTTCTTCCTTCGCCACCTCCTTCGATGAAGGGTTGCTACTCGTCCCTTCTACCTTGACAATCTACAAGCCAGAGAAGTCTCGTCCTTGGCGACATTATGAATGAATGAATGAACAAACTGAAAAAGAAAAATTGTCTTCTCAATATTTTTAAAAATTTAATCAATTATTATGCAACATATTTCCTTGCCACAATTTATCTTCTACATTTCCTTCTTCAAATTATTTTCAAAATTTAACCGATTATTTTACAAAAACTTCGTTCCCAAATTTTCTTTCCATATTTCATTTTTAAAAATCATTTCAAAATCTTTGTCAAACTAAAATTTTTTAATCTACGACTACAGAAATTTGTACAATAAATTTTGTATCCTAATATCCACTAATAATTTAGATAATCCGATGAAAAATTATGATTTATGGTAATAGTTATAACTAATCATTATTATTCATTATTAATCATATTTTTCATCGAAGATCGCTGCTCCTACAAGAAAAAAAATGAACGAATTTCATCAATAATGCGCATAAACTCGAGCAACGAGGGAACGTCAATCTATAAAAGCGTATGACGGTAGCAAAAGATGGCACGATGAAGGGAGGAGACGAGGAAGACGATAGTCGTAGTCCACGAGGAAGGAGTGGAGGAGGGGACGAGTAGGTAAGGACATATAATAGCAGGATGTTACAACGCCCGTGTCCGGTACATAAGTATCTGGTTTCATAAATGAAAGTGTCTTCATTCATAGATACATATTTCCATACAATTGCCGCTATTGGTTCGTATCTTATGATATCGCCATTATGTGTGGGCCGGTGCATTACATATGTACATAACACCATTATATACAAATTCCTAGTAATGCGCTGCTACTGCTGCATTAATGATAAAGTTGTTTAGATATCGCGATATTTCAAGTTTGCAAGAAAAAATAAATAATAAAAAAAAAATGTGTAGAACATCATCAAAAGTATGTCTTCGATATTCGATCAAACACACATGATATCGCAGAGTATTCAGGTTCTTGTTTCAATTCAGAAAATTAGTTAAGATAATAAAACATTATATAAAAGTTTCATTAAAATTTGATCAACAGAACATTTGGACTTTCTTATGATTAAAAAGATTTAAAAATAATAGTCACTATACAGCTAAAAAAATATTAATCGAAGTCATAAGCTATGATAATATATATAATGTCTCTTGATTGTACAATAGTTAACTTGTAACTCTAAAATAAATGGCACAAAACAAGAAACTTTACTTGAAAATATAGAAGATTTTAATAAAGTTTATAAAAATAACTATTTATAATATTATATATTATATAGTATACAATATATATACTATAATATATATACTATAAATGAAATCACTATTACAATATTTCAAAATAAGAAGTATCTCTTTCCTTTATTAAACTATTCATGAAATTGATTCTCCAAGAAACTCGTACTCAATATACTATGTACTTCATCTTATCTTTAAAGAAATAAAATCCAATCAAAGAGAACTTCAAATCCAATCGAAATAGAAAAGAAGCAAAGAAACGATCGCGTGCGTTTTACAGAAGGGGCCGCGCAAGGATTCCTGTTACGCGTTCCCTCCTTATATCGAATAAATCTATCTTGATGACGCCAGCGCGCACGATGGACGCGCCCTGTGAGCTAGGTAGGAAGTCATCCTTCCTAGCATCCAGAGTCCACACAGGAAATCTCGGACGCACCCACCGAAACAGCCCGCCCCCTCCGTCGGAGTCGATTTAATGTTTCGTTTCCTCTGTGACGACAAGAAGCTACAATTTTATAGAACCAGCCGCCCTACGGCACAAACCCTTCACAAGGGGAAAACGCCATGTATACCAACCGATTCACAATTAAATCTTTGTCAAACTTTTTACTTTCTTGCGGCTGGATGTGAATGAGGAATCGTTTAAACGCTCGTTTGAATCACGATGATGCCAAAAGTGAGTATTTGTGAATATTTGAAATAGAATTATTTTAAAGAATATAATATTTTAAATATAATATATAATTATTTTAAAGAATAATTTTATTAATAAAAATTTTATTAATAAAAATTGAATTCTTTAAAAAAAAATTGTAATAACACATTGAATATATTACAATTTTAAATTCTTCCAGAAATTAGCCCTTTAATAAATTGGTTTCGATATCTGGCTCTTTTCAATATTAATATAAATCTTTATCAATCAAACTTATTTATAATCAAATCACTTTATGTCAATTCTTATATTGAAAAACGTTGTTAGTCGCAAGAGCACATCTGTATAGCTCGTTAACGTGTACTAGATACATAGAGAATGAACGATGGAAAAATACATATCTTGCCGAGATAAATTTTATAAAATAATACCTTTTATGGGGCTGCATATTCATTTTTCCGGAGGGTCCTCCCCATGATTCCTGATGTCCCGACCGAGTCGTCTACATATGTATGAGCTTTTGCAGGACTCTGTTGGTCATGCCTCGGCGAATCGAGCTTTCTACCCTTCATTTTTGTTGCCAGTGTTATATGTACTACCAATGGCCCAGAGCTGAATAAACAACTGAGACTGACCTGAAAAAAAAATCGGGTAAACCGAATGATTAGAATGATTACTCTTCGCCTTCTTTTCTTCCTTCCGTGTGTAAACTACATAACGATACTCGATTTTTGAAATTCTACGTAAATTAATGTGCATTATTGAAGAAATTTTTGAATGAACATCACTTTAATATTTCTTTTTTTTTTTAAACTATATTTATCTTGTTTTTTTTATTAACTATACAAAAGAAACAATGAAGAATTATCATTTCAACGAACCATCAAGTTTATAAAACAAGAGAAATCAAAATTGTAAACTTGTATCGCTACTAAAGAAATATGAAAAATTTACGAATATTTGAAATAGAATTTAATATACAATACTTAGAAAAAATTTTAATGTTATCGAATTACTTAATATCGTGATCATTTTAAACAGGAAAGTTTCTATTTTCTAATCTACGCACATACCCTAATTATTAAACGACTATGTGGTCTATCCAGTTCTAGATCAATATCAAAGACACAGTTACCCGTTGCAATTAAAAAGAAGGAAGAAGCCCCAAGAGTTTTCTCAAAACTAAAACCGTATCCTAAACAAAGCGTGACGAAAAGTCCGGGGGCCGACATAAATCTCGTGTATTCTCTTTTTTACAGCGTACAGGACGACGACGGTCAGTTTCCCTCGGCATCTAAGAAAAGCAACGCGCTCGTTCGCTCGCTTGCATTAAAGAGCAATTAGCTGCGGCTCGCGAGCACGCTGATGCCCGGAAGCGATAGAAGCGGGCCGCGCGTGCCACCCTTACCTTTTCTTCGTCTATGAACGTATTACTTGTTCGTGTTCACATACATCCACATGATCTCGTCCAGTCGTTTTGCCTGCAGGTTCGCCTCACCAAGCGTTCCCTTCTTACTAACTTTGCTACTAGAATTATTCACCTTACCGATATTTCAAAAACATACAGATAAAAGATGAGTAATCTAAAAAGTTAAATTATGTTAGAAGTATATTATAAAAAATATATTTAAAAAAAGATAATGATTGAAAACTTATTTTTTCTTATTTTTCAGATAAAATTATTCTATTTTATATATTATTTTATATTATTTTATTAATTTTATAGAAATATATAAAAAAAGACAATTGTATATATTTTTTTATAAAGAAGTTAAGATGTATAAAAAAATATGTTAAAAAATAAATTCAATAATTAAAATTGAAGAAAATTTAGAATGTAAAGTATAAATGTTTTTTTTTATCATTATAACATAATATATATATAATATAACAAAACACATATAAAAAAAGTAATAGTACTGTTTTTCTTCTGTTAAATTTTTATAAATATTGATTAACTATTTTTGTTCCATTATTCTCCACCAAATTATTCTATATCTACTGTATCAAATAAACTTGTACATTACAAAATAGATGACATTAATGAAAAAATAGAAATATCTATTTAGATATATATTAGAAATGTATATTATAAATGTATATTAAAAATTAAATATAAATTAATTTCAATAAAAAAAACATTTTATAAATTATTTTTATATTATAATATTACTTGTTTTAATATTTCAATATTATTTTATTATTTATTTATTCCGTATTATTAATAATTTGAGTTCAAGATAAAAAGTAACAGAAGAATAATCTATCAAATAATTTATTTCCATAGAATTTCGTTCCTAACCTAAGAATAGTATTCACTTCCTATAATATATTCACTTCCCATAATACTTACCATAAATAAAACATCAAAAGTTTCTTGATTCTTTTTTATTCTAGGTTCTTCGATGTCTCGATTTGCTCGACGGCGTAACAATCTATTCAATTACCATCGCAGATAATTATTATCACGGAAACTGCATCGCTGGGCCTCATTGCCCCAATCCTTAATTAACCGTCGGGCAGACGGTAATTGGTACAAGTTGATATACGACACCCAATCCATCGGTAAGAACGAAGTTGACACGTGATGAATAACGTTCACTTATACACATGGATTACAATATTAAACTCGTATTCTTTTTTTTTCCTCCGAATAATCGTAACGAAACATAAGCTAACTTGATAAGAAATAGTCAAATAAGAAATTGATAATCTTCTTTCACATGCATCAAATATTATAATAGGCTGTAACAGATTTTAAAAATGTTATCAGAAAAATATTGATATTTTAAAGTTTTCTTTAGATTTTTTTAAGTTTTTAGATCTTTTTTTTTTATTTGAGAATGGTATAATCAAGTTTTGTGTTCATTTTTTTTATATTTTATACCTATTTATATTTTCAATTTAAAGAAATTTAATTATTATATAATATTATTTAAAATTTTTAAAAGAGATAATTTAAATTTTAAGAAATATATATATATATATATATATATATATATATATTATATACTATAAAAAATAAAAAATTGTACATACTTGATAAATGTTTCGAAAATAAATTTTAAACAGTTATATAACTGTATATAATCTATATATCAATAATTCTTCTTTTATTTAAGTATGAAATATTTTTTTATAGAAATAAAAACAATATGTTACATTTTTTTATTAATTTAACGATAAAAAATGAACAAATAGAATCCATTTGTAATCATCACATATATTCTATGAAATAATGTGAACAATTTTTAAAATTAATTTTATCTTTGTTCCATCGAAATCAATATCATAAATCGGCCATTTGTAAATTTTTTTTCGTAAAAATTAAATATTATCTGAAGGCTACTACATAATATGCAAATTACATCGTAATAATTATTAGACAATTTAATTATTTGTCTACAAACATTTTCGATTGGATTTGATAAAAAAAAATGACACAAAGATTTGTATAATATAATTACCTGCATTCCTGTTCCAACGCAATACTCTTCACGTTTCGATAAAATACAGAGATGAATTTAATACCGTAAGTTGCACGTGCGTGCGCTCATGCGATGCGCACGCATGCTACGGTTAATTGTAATTTATGCTCAGACGATTTAAGTTCGAATAGTTACTTCATTTATATTATCACTTTTTGTCTCTGTATTATTTGAATAATTTTATATTTAATTAATCAATAATTGATTTATAAAACACACTACTGAGATATTACATAATGCAAATGATTTCCTTTGCAATATCTATAAAATAAAGAATTGTTTTAGTTAAGACTTATTATGAAAAATCTATCAGTTCTGAGTGATTGTGTAATGATTTAACAACTTTAATTATATAAAAAATTTTCTTCTATAATTAAATTATTGTAAGTATAAATATTTGAAATTTACGATCATAAAAATTTATTTCATAATATAAGGTTAAGTTTATTATTCATATATATATGAAGTACATATAATTCTTTCAGGTTTCTGTAAAAAATTATCGTAATATCTTTATTCCCGCGTTTCGTTTTCAGTAGAATAAGTTGCAAATTTTCTACGGATTTTATTTTGTTTCGATTGATGTTTAAAGGAAAAAAAAAGAACGTGCCAATCGAACATCGACAAAATAGGCTCTGTAAGGCTACAAACAAGAGCCGACGATTATTGAGCGGGCAAAGATAAAAGGTCGGTTTGACTGCCATAAAACAAAGTGCATGCAACTCCATTTTATGCTGATCGATTTGTGGTGATTTTATAACTTCGCTTGTCCATAGTAGTCTCGTGTAAATGCCGCCGTTCAAACGAGCCGCGATATTTTATATCTATGGCATGAACACAAAATAGAGCTTTATATATTCCAGTAGAAGGAACCGAACTTCTTTTTTTTTTTAAATTTCTTTGTACTACGTTCAGCGATCGAAATAAAATCTGTTGTTAACTTTGAGTAAGAATTTTATTGCTTTATCTATATTTTATTTATTATATATATTATGAAATTTTATTGAATCATTTTAATTAAATTATCATAAAATATTATTTTTATTTATATACATTTATTGTCTTCTTATTTTTAAACATTTAATATATAAAAATTATTACACAATTAGTGATTATAACCATTGTTGAAATTATAACTTTACTATATTGTTTGAAATTCGAGGAAATATTTAATAAAGTTTCATATTTCTGTAACATTTCTTTTATAATTATTTCTTCTCAGAAGAAACTATGTCTTTGAAAGGCACATTTTCAAAACTAATATACATGTATCGAAGCTGCCATAAATAGTTTGCTGATACATACAAGAATTAATATATTTTATATTTGTCTTTATGATCTATTTAATATCTATTTCATATAACTACTGGAGATCAAAATATAATCAAATGTCTTATTGTCTTCTTGTAATGTAAATTTAAATATATATTTATATCAATAAGAATATGAATGTCAAAAAAACTTCAAATAGGACATTTCGATTCCGTTGAACCTTCCGATTCCGCGGAAAAATCTTCAGCTGCCAGAGCGAGAACTTCTTCGCACACTCGTTTATAAACCCATGCATTACCCTTTAATCGTTTTCTTCGAATACCAACTAATTTGTTATTTGAGATACCCTCTAATAAACAAACTTCTAATTCAAAAGAACAGGCATTCCTAGATGAAAATGGTCGCATTGCATCTTTATCATCCTCTGTACAATCTTCTGTCTCTCCTTGTAAGATAAACCTGGAAATATTTTTATAATGAATATAAAAAATTAACATTATAAAAAAAATTCGACATTACCCTTTTTGATGACACATAATTCCTTTACGACGAAGTGCACGACGTAATTGTGAAAGAACATATTTCGGATCATCACTGGACGTTGATGATACATTACAAAGACCCTATAAAAAATTTCATTACGATAAATTCGAATTCAAAACATATATTATATATATTATATATATTATCAATCATATATAAATAAATAAATATATATATACACCTTCCCAGAAAGTACGTTAGGTTGATCAGGATCGATATTTTCATTCTTCACGCGTCTCTTTGGCGTAAGGACGTAACGTACACGATTCAATCCACGTTCTAAACCCATTATTACTTTCCTTGCACTTCCCGGTGTACATGATTGTGATTCTCTATATTATTAATATTATTTTTTTCTTCAATATTTCCTTTAAATATTACTTCATTGTTATTTAGATTATTATTAAACAAATACCTCGAATCTGATATTGTAGTACTAGTTGGAGTAGAAACAAACCTATCTTTTTCTGCAATTCTCTTTATAGGAACTGTAATCAATTTTTTATTAATTATTATATAAATTGCATTTGATATTTAAATAAAAAACATGGACAAATAGAAATTAAAAGGAATTAAGAAAAAAAGATAAGGAATAGTAAGAGATATTATATCTCTTAAAAGGGAATGGGATAAAGAATTCTTACATATATTTGTAACTCCAAATTGTGTTTGTTCACAAGTCGTTGCTCTTCTCTAATTATCTGCTTTTCACACAACTACAGCAATTTATGGCACTTCGAAACTTTCATTAAAGTTTCTAATTAGATGGCTAGCATCACCTAATTAGAAGTAAACTTTAGAAAATATATTACAAAATATATATACTATATATATATATATATACTATGTATGTACATATATGTTATTATAAAAGTCTGAATATCAGAAAATATATTATATATTTAATATATAATGGCTTAAAATTTACCAACCAATGTATAAATCAGTAATATAATATCAATACATAAATAATATCAATACAAATATTATGAAATCAATATTTTATCGAAATTAGTTGATATTGACATTTATTATTAAATTGTGATTTCAAGCAAAGTCATATAATTATTTATCCATAGAGAATTTGAGCGAAAATGAGAAGATGAAGAGCGAAAATGAAATAATTTTTAACAATCGAAATTATAATGAATAGTTATGATAATGGTAGATATCAGTTTATTATTAATGTTTATTGTTGTCGGTTATTGTAATTTCGATTCGTCCGAGTTTTTTGAAATCTGCGGAATGCTCAAACTTTCTATAGATAGAAATGATGTTGTTATTTTATTATTAATTCTTATCAGATATTAATAGTAAATCTCACTTATATCAATACAAATCTGTAAAAGAAATACAAATTGTTACCTTCATCAATCTAATTTTGACTTCTACCGTGAATTATTAATAAATTTTAACATTTTTCCGGAAAAAACTTAATATTTTCCAGTATTCAAGTTATACATACATATATATATAAACAACTTATAAAACACAAATTCGAAGTTCATTAAAAAGATGAGCATTATTAAATATTTATATAATTTTTTATAATAAAATATAAAAATCAAAAAAGGATAATAAAAGAACAATAAAATAAAATATACATGAAATAAAATATAAAGCTAATGGAAAAATAAATTTAATTTCTTAAAACATACCAGGAGAACATACATCATCTTCTTCTTTACTTCGGAGTCGTTTTCTACCAGGCAAATGTGGTTCCATGAAACTATTAGCTGTATATAAAATAATAATTATATATTTGTATTAATTTAAATATAATTAATATTGATATAAAAATAAAAATATGAAAATTAAAATGAAACCTACTAGTTTCAGGTGTTTTTGGCAAAATCTTGAAAGTAGTGTCTATTATCGGAGACCTAATAAATTTACTTCTTGGAGAATAATCAAGTTTAGTTATAATACCATTATCATTTCCTTCATACTATAAGTAATAAAATAAAACAAATTTAAATTTAAATTTCCTAAAATATATTTAATATTTAACCTTAGATTAAAAAAAATGAAATAACTTGTTACCTCAGATTTAAAATGTGATTTTGCAGAAGATGATATTCGAAGTGAAAGTCCACGTAGTTTTCTATCTAAAAGTAAAAGATATGTGGCAGTTTTATAATCTGTTCGATCACTTTTTACAAGTTTTTTCCATATATCTGAAGTATTTTCACCACATATTGCAGACATTGTACTTAATACATCATCATCTTTTTGAAACTATATATGTATTAAAAAAATGTTAATGTATTTTATATATTAAAAATTTATAAAAAGTATATATAAAATACAAAAAAATACAAAAAAAACATTTACATTTGTTTTATGAACAAATGAAACAGGATTGAGAAATCCTGCTGTAATCCATGGATGATTGCATAGTTCTTGAATCGTAATTCTTTTTTTTGGATCTATTTGTAGCATTGCTTGTATTAATTTTTTACTACTGCTTGATAACCAGCTTGGTTCATCATATTTACCACTCTAAAATTGTTATTATCAATCATTGTCTTTGCAAATTCAAATAAAATTGAAAATCTTACAAGAATCTTTCTATATAAATTTTCTATACTGTTATCATCAAAGGGAAGAAAGCCACAAAGTAATGCATAAAGAAGGACTCCCATACTCCAAATATCTACTTCTGAACCTATAAAAGATATATCAATCATATCTTTATAATATATATATATATATCTTTTAATATAATATTATTAATATCATGTTTAATAATATAATATATACCTAAGTATTTTTTGCCCAATATAAGCTCTGGTGCTGCATATGTTGGAGAACCACAGGATGTTTGTAAATGTGAATCTATTCCATTTTTTGGTTTTGCACATAATCCAAAATCTATGAGCTTTAAATTCTCTTCTTTATCTAACAAAACATTCTCCTGGGTATAAAAATAATATTGTTTGCTACTTGAGATTATTTGTTTTAATTAATATTAAAATATTAGTCATTAAAAAATATTTTAACTTACAGGTTTTAAATCACGATGAGCATATCCTAAGCTATGTAAATATGCTACCGCAGAAACAATTTGACGAAAAAATTTGCGCGATTCTGCTTCAGAAAGTTTATTTTTTTCAACTACAAAACAAAGATAAATCTATAATTTTTTAAATTTTAAATGATAAAATAATATAGATTTGAAATTGAATTGAATGTATTAATTACCAATATGATCGAATAATTCTCCTCCTGAACAATATTCTATTACCATA